GATGTGGACAGCTGCAGAAGGGACTGAAACATACACTTGTCAAGGCTCAGCAGGAGCCTTGTTGACACACCTGACTTCCAATTCTGTCCCTTTGCCCACGCAATTCATAAGATTTGCCTGTAAATCTAACTTCCTTTGCTTCCCAGTACTTTAAATCTCTTTTGATTTTTAATATGATTTAAGAATAAATACTAGACTTTAGATACTTTTTAATGAAGTATTCCACTTAAAAGGTCACCCGGTAATAATCTGTCTTTGTGGTTAGTGTCCCTGTTTCCAGTCTGCACTTTTCAGCCATAATCTAAGTGGTTGGCAGAGGAGTTCCTAAGGTCCTTCCTAACCACACTAAAATATGAAAGTCATTGGTCTCCACAATGGCAGGGAAGCTCTCCCTCCATGATCTGGTCCCCTTTGATCAGTCCAGTCTTCTCCCATACCCTACTACAGTGAACTGTCTTCTTCCTCCCTAGCCAGTGTTCCCTAGAATGTAACACGTTTCCCCTCCATGCTAAAGACTTCTTTGTCTTAGTTCAGGTCCAGGTACATTTCCCACAGGGTCCTTCCCTGGTGTGAGTTCATGTCCCTCCCACCATGGCCTCTGTCCTCTGTATTGCCACCACCTCTTCTATATTATGAGCTCTGGCAGGCTCTGTTTGTTTCAGTGTACCCAGCTTTCAGCACACTGGGGGCTTTCCGTACTGAGAGAACACATTCACTCCAAGAATATTCAGCTTTTTCCACAATGCAAATAACTTGGGGGAAAATTAACCTCAACTAACCATTTTCATGCTGCTCTTTTCAACACAAAAGGCTTAGATACTCTCTAGGTGTCTCTGTAAATATTTTCTCCATGACTTTCTTACTCACAATGAAGTCTATGGACCTGCAGCATCCAGAACTGCCCTAGATATATTAAATTGCGATCTACATTTTATCCAGACACACTCTGCCCCCGTTCAGAGAAGCGCTCCTCTGAAGGATATTACCTTTCCTTCCTCACAAAGGCCTGATGGCTAAAAGGATGGAACAGTTGAGACAATTTGATACACCTGCAGAGCCTTTCAAAACCCAAAGAACAGGCAGAAAATGTATCAATTATGTAGTTGCATCTTCTTTCATTTTTATTTTAAATGGGATGCCTCACTCTGAAGGGAATGGCAGTGGTTAGATCCATGCGGAACTCTTCCAATGGTGTTAGATGAATGCTGAATGGTGAGGTATAATCCGTTGCTGTAAGCCATGCCCAGGATGAGGTGAGCACTGCTATCCCAGGTCCCCAATGGTGTCCCACATCTGCAGTTCTCTGGTCCACAATGGTAAATATTGCTGTAGTGCTCATAGCATACACAGGCCAGACTGGCACAGTTTTACCAGTTGGGAAGAGGGAAAGACACTGAGAAGGCATTCTAGACGCCTGGCTGGAGAGTCAGACGTAGCCTGTTTTTACCATGTGGATTGCTGCAGGTGTACGCTTTCCTGCATCCTAGTATAATCTTTCATCTCCATGACCTACAAGTACCTATAGGCACACCATGAGCTCTCAAGGCTCAGGACAAAGAAAATGCATGAGGTCCATCATCTCCCCTTCCAGAAGAAAAAGTGAATGTTCCTTCAGCAAAGTTCCACCTAGCCTTCAAAGGGTGAGCTGACCCTTACTGTTGCTTAAGAATTACAGTCTCAGAATATGGCTGAGTAGACAAAATTCATGTAACAGCAATATCTACAAATCTAGCACCCTGGGATCATTTTGGATGTAAAACTTTCCTTCTTCCCCTTGCCTCCAGCCTAACTCATAACCTGCCTTCTGCCCATTGGTGACCACTGTTAGAAAGTAAGCTTTTGAGCTATGCTTATTGAGGCTGTGAGAAGCATGGCCCATTTCCTTTCTGAGGCATCAGTGGAGTCTGGGAGCAGGTTCCTGTAGGGCCCAGGGAAGGAGACTGGCTGTGAGCAGAGCTCTTGTCTAGAAGCTGCTGCGGCAGATCTAGGGTGAGGTATGAACAGGGAGTGCTTTAGGGGAGGCAGGAGCTCCTGGACATGATGGATTGCTTTCACTGTACTGAAGTTCCCTCCTGCCTGAAGGGAAATGACTTTAAACAGGTACAAGAATTCAAACTGACAAACTGTGTTTGCCTGGTGGCTTGCATTCTTTGTGAGAAGTCACCTTGGGAGAGCCCTCTTTGTTCGTGGAGCAAAGAGGAACTACAAGGAATCTCATCAGGGATGCATGTGGACCCTCTCAGCTGGGTCTGGGGGCTTAAGACTCACTTAACCTGTGCTCAGATCTCAGGCATCTACCATGACCTTTCTAATCTTACTTCCCTCATCTCTCTAGTCACAATCCTGTCTGCAGCCAGACAGTTCTCATATTGTTCTCTGGGTCCCTAAATGGCCACCTCTCTTGATACCCTTTTCCCATCTATAAGATGCAGGATTTATTTAACAACTGCTTCAAGTAAACCAGCCTTTCTCCTGAGTCTCCTACTGGTCTCTCACAGGAATGGGCAACCTGCCTCATCTACAGGTAGCAAAGAAACCAGTAAGCTATTGCTCATTCTGGTTTGCCATAAAGCTAAAAGAAAGGAACAAACAAGAGACACACATATGGGACAAGGTGTGGTCAGCTCTTCCTCAGTGAAAGCTATACTTCCAGCAAAGACAGTGCAGGCGTCACTTCATAGAGAAGAGGATGGATGGGAGGTTTAAATATGAGCATTTCCTAAGTGGAAGAATCAAGTGGACCAGTGAGCTGGAAGGAGGAGAGAAGGCTCCTCTCCAGCTCTGGAGTCTGGAACGTAAATGGCAAGAAATCACTATGAGGCTGGGGATTTAGCTCAGTGGCATAAGTGCCTGCCTGGTCAGTATGAGGTTGTGAGTTCGATCTCTGGTACCACAAAAAAAAAAAAAAAAAAAAAAAAAAAAAAAAGAAAGAAAGAAATTACTCTGACCATTGCTAAGTGTATCAGAGAGCCTGAAGGGCCTAGGACCTGGGACTCTGCTGAGGCAATAGCTGGAAGGGACTTACTGATTGCCTACAGGGGATAAGATGGAAAGAAAGTGTCTCAATGCAGAATCCACTGGCAGCTTTTGCCACTGCAAGTTGACCAGCTAGGACAAGGAAGCCACCATGAAGTAGTTGTAGTTTAAATCACTCTGCCTGGCATGCTCGAACTGATACAGAGAAAATTCATTTTCCTCTTTTACTTTGTTCCACAGAAAGGCACATTTTTAAAACCAAGGTCTCACTGCCCATTCATTTATCTTTTCCACATCACCAGTGCTTGATCATGTCTGGTTCTGTGCTGGACAGCCATGGGCACTGGCCGCCAGGAGCCCGCCATCTGGAGCTGCTCATGGCACTGTATACTGTGGAGAAAGTGCTCAATACATTCTTCACTATACGAATTAAATGTTAAGACCAGGTTTTCTTTGCATACATTTAATGTTACACTTACACAGAAGTATACGTTCTGTAGGGAAATTATACTTGAATGTAGGTATAAACATGCAATCCCAAATCTATAGATACCTCATTGTCAAAGACTGAAGAAAACGGGACCTTTCCCTAAATATGACTTTGTGTTTTGTTTTCTCTACTTAAAATTCCACTGTGAGCATGCGCCATGCCCCAAAAACATATATATCTTTCTAAGCTTTTTCTTTAAAGGCCAGACCTTTGCTGCTAATCCTTTTAAGCTGAAATAAAGCCAGATGAATTCATCATTACTCAGATAGCTTTCCATTCACTAATTCACTCATTCAGTGGTACTTCTTAGCACCTCCCTTTGGTGTCAGACATCGTGGGAAGCCAAAGACATTCAATGGTGAATGAAACAGAATTCTGTCTTCCAGGTTCTTATGTCTTATGAATCATATGCCAGGAAGTAGCACTCTGAGAGCTTCCTGGTGAGTGGAGGGGGATCCCAGATAGCGCCTCAGACACAGGGCCATGCTTCATGCTTGACCAGCCTGCCCCTGATATACTAGATTAGGAATGAGTGACCAGCCAGGGACCCTAGAATGGCCTGTCTGACAGGGATGTGGCTGGCTCTCATAGACTCTAGGGTAACTGAAGCATGTCGGGGAGGACAAGAGGGCAAGGGTGAGAAGGTGAATAACAGGGGCTCCAAAATTTAAAGGCAAATCAAGGAAAGATAATAAGCACAAACCACAGAGGGGATGGCTGCACAAAGTACTGCCCAAAGTAACACCAGTCTGGATCATCACATGCAGAGGAGACAAGTGGCCTGGATCAAAAACAGGTCACGGAGATAAACACTTCTGTCCCTGATTAGCTGCCAGACTCTATGGTGTCACCCATGGAGCTGCTATCATTTCAAAGACCACCTAATTCTCTGCAAAATCTAGCTATGCAATTGTCCCTGCCTTCCTTACCTAGCCTCAGGTCAGGGACAGACTCTGCTAGATAAGGATCACTTGAACATGAGTTCTGCCTTTGCACCCTAAAGATCTAAACTGAAGGGAGGCTTCACTTCTAGGAAAGCCATTGTTTCTCTGTTCTCTGAGTCAGCCTTTTTGGAAACTCCCAGTCCAGAGGCTGAATTCCAGACCTTCCACCTCTGCCAGTACGTGATCTGTTTAAGAATAAGAAGCATAATGACTGTCGGCAGATGTTGGGCAGTGATGCACAACTTGAAATGCATCGACTGGGTTTAGCACCCTTGGAAAAAGTGGATAAAGTCAGTGGTGATTTCTCCTAAGTGTTGTGGCATAATTACTATTAATTAAAAAACTTCGTGAGATTTGAGAAAGAGAACACTGATGTTAGACTAGTTGCCTCTGACATTCACAACTGTGAAATGGGGTAAAATATCAATAATAGTTGTGAGAACAAGCAGGCTACTCTATTTCTTGCAGTTAAGTGACTAACTTTAGAAATTCATTTGGTTATGCATTGTGATGATTTGCAGACATGCCTAGCAGGCTGTGTACACCAAACCAAGCTCTATTTTCACACAAGACTGATACAGGCAGCTCACCTTGCCATCCAGGCTTGCAAACCGGCTTCACATCCACCTGCACCAGCGTGTCCTGAGCAGCAGGTTTCTGTCCACAGTCATAGGCGGTCACTAGGATCTCATACTGGTGTTGCCTGTCATAGCTCAGTTTCTCAGTGTTCCTGATGTTGCCTGAGGAAGAGAGATGTTCAGAATCATTTCAAGTCAAGTTACTTTTTGAAAATCCCTTCTCCATCCATCAACTTTATAAGGATGAAATGACCTCTTTCTTTATCTTTTTGTAAAAACAATGGCAAAAAGCGTATAGCTTCTACCTAAAGTGGCTGGTTTATACTTTAGTGATCAATTCCTTGACCTCTGGCTAGAGTGACCTTGCTGTGCAATGGGCTGATGGGAATTCTGAGTGTCCATCTGAAATCCAAGTGACCTGTGCTTATAAGCAATGGGTTTCCAGGAAGCTCCTTCCTAAAGTGCATTTAAGTAGCTGTGTTCCTGATACAGTGCACAGAAGGCTAATCGGCCATGAAATTTCTGGGAAAAAGACGGAATTCAGAAAATGTTCTGATACACATTTTTTAGCATCTGGGCTTGTTGCCAAATGTTCACTGCCTCTTCTCACATTATTTTGCTACCAAATAGGAAGTAAAATCAATAAGAAAACGTGTGACCTCCCTTCCGAAAGTTACACTGAATAACAGATTCCTTGCCCTGAGGAAAAAGGCATTTTTCTTTACCAGGAAAGAACAAACAATTTTTTTCAGAGCATTTTTATGAGTTTTTGTTCCTGTGGGTTTGATATATTTATAAATAAATATTTTGTTAATAATGATCAAAATATTAACTGTCTATTTTTGCTGGAATACAGTACTGATTCCAAAGACTGAATAAAGACTCGAAGCTCACTTAGCACTTTCAAGTTTCTCATTCCAAGAGATTAAAATCTTCCTTTGCTGAAAATAATTTAATTCGTGCTTTATATAATTATTTTCGATGGAGGAATTGACAGAAAATTAAAACTCAAATGTTATCATCTTTTACCAGAAATGAAATTAAGAAAAGGAAAATTAAAAATGCAAATAGAGAACAACAACAACAAAATCAGCAATCGTTCCATAAGAATTGTATACTCAGGCCAGCAGGCTGGGGATACAGTCAGCAGCACAAGCGCCTGCCTCGCAAATGCAAGGTCATGAGTTTGATCCCCAGTACAAAAAAAATGTATACTTGGGTATATTTTGATATTTGAACAAAGCAAAAACACTATCTGAATGAATGTTATTCTGTTCCAACTGATATATATTGTTCATGTAAATTAAGAGAATGTGAGCTGAGACAAAACTGTTTAGAAGAGTGGAAAAGTCAAACAATATTTTAAATAGTGAAACAGTTGATCACCACTTATCCAGTGTTACTGAAATAGCACACTGCTGGATGACAAGCAGGATTATGTACACTAGTATATCAAGGTGATGTCCAGGTTGGTGAGGATGGAATACAAAGTCACACAAGACATCCAACCATGAACTAGAACAATCTAGTCTGCTTCCTGTTCTGGACCATTGCTTAGAATGCAACTATATCTATTGATTTGAGAACATTTACTTTAACAAAGTCAGATGAAAATCTCTGAATAAAAATAGGTCTTATGTATTTCTGACTTTGTCTCTGGGGTCCAGAATCTCTTTCATTTCCCCACTAATTTTGTTTTCTCCTAGCCCAAGGCTTGCACAGGTCTGGAGTGGCTTGGAATTGGGATGGTGGTGGTGCTAACGAACTTGTTTTAGTTATAGTCACCACAGGGGAGGAATTCTTCCATATTTAAGTGGAAGCACTTAAATATAACCATGAGAAGTATGTTTCAGCAACACTAAATTGAATTTTGAACAAAATTTTAACTTTCTCTTCCTCCACAGTTAAATGGCTCTCAAAAGATTACCCCTCTAAGAAGAGGAAAGCTCAGGGTTTACAATCCATGTGACATTAAGCAGACAAACACTATTGATTGTGGTAGAAAAACAAACACTGAATCCTTGGCTCAATTTGTTGTAGCTCCACTTCCATAACCAGCCTTAATGAAATTGACTGAGAAACTAATTTACTTTCTCCACCACTATCAACTTTGTACACGTGAAAATGGTTTCAAAGCACAGCATTTGTGGCATTAGATCTGAAATAAGAATATAATGTTGTGAGCAGTAGTTTTCAGGAAAGGATCATATTTGTGTAAGATGCTTACTTAAAAGTGAAAGCGTAGAGAAAGCCATCCCTTTTGTTTCTGTTGAATTTATATCTTTTCTTCCTATATTTAAATGTGACTTTTCAAGAGATCTGAGCCTATAGTCAGCTCAGGTGAGCTATACAGCCTGGCTTCCAGGACTGTTTTCACCAGGTGCAAATGAAATCTGAGAAACTGACAATCAGTATTTGTGCTCCATATTAATGGAGGTTTCTTTTTTTCTTTTCACCTAGGAACTGTGAGGAGGGAGTGGGGTTGATGAGATAAGCACACCGACCTCACTGTCTTTCTGGTGAAATTTGAACAGGAACATTCTGGAAGGTGACTTGGCAATCTATGTATCTTGTAATCACTTTTTAGATGCAATTCCTCATCTAAAAATTGATTCAAGGAAATGATAAAAACCACAACTGAATTGCAGCTTCTCACATATGTCCATCTATGTCTTATACATGCATTATGGTCTGATAATAGAAGTAAATATGGAATATTAGTATTAATATTAAGATGGAATATTGTTCATCACTAAAATGGGCATTATGAAATTATTTCAGAGTGGGAAAAGTACACATAATTGAATTTTAAGTGAAGAGGGGGAGTAAAAAGAAAAAAAGGTAGTGTAGTCTTAATTTTATTTAGGAATTCCATTGAAAACTTATTGGAAATAATGTAAACTCTTAATAGTGGTTATCTTTGGCAGGATGATGGGTGATTTATTTCCTTCTCCATACTTTTCTGTGCTTTCCAAAGTTCACATATAGGGCTTGTCTGACTTTTCTATTCAGGTAGGAAAGAAGCATTTTCATCTGCTTAAAGAATAAACAGACTTTAGGACACGTTCTTCTCAGAGTTCTCTTGCCGCCTGGGCAGCCTTCTGACAGAGAGAAACTGGTGGATGCTATGAACCAGCCAGTGAGTACCTGCTAGCTGTATGAAAGTGATTAAAAACTACAGATGATTAAAAACCACAAACATCTTCTAAGTGGTCACTGGGCGTCATTGTGTTACCGAGGACACTGCTGTCCTCTTTGCTGACATTGTCTCACACGGTGGCTTGTGTCATATACTCTGCCAAGAAGAATGTGAGAAGTTTTCTCCTAGGTATTCATCTAGGAGTTTCATGGTCATAGGTCTTATGTTTAAGTCTATAATCCATTTCAAGTTGATTTTTATGTAAGAATTCTATTTATTTATTTTTATATATTTTAATCCAAGTTATCCTAGATTGCTTATTAATGACTATATCATTTCTCCATTGCATTTTCTTGATGCCTTTGTCAAAAATTTTCTAACTAAAGGTGAAAAATGGGAGCTTGTTAGGGGGCTGGGTGCAGAGTCTCTGAGGAGAAATCAGATCAGATGTTAGAATATGACAACATAGAGAGGCCAGACTAATGGATACCGATTCTTATTAACCAAGGCTAACCGAAGGGAAAAATAAAATTAGGAAGAGGAAGGAAAAGCGCAGGTGGAGAGTGGGAGGATGAGGCACAGTGAGCAGTGGATCCAAGGGGAAAAGCTGTATTGGCTCTCAGCGACTGCTAGAAAATTAAACCTGGGCCCCCGCAAAGCAGCCAAAGCCACCTGGCCACACCAAAGGAGACTGCAAGAGGCTCCGGGGCTCCAAAGCTGGACACCATGCAGTTTTCTAACCAATCCACGCTGTACTGGGAATGCAGTGAAGACACGCGGCACAGTGTGCAGTGGACCCAAGAGGAAGATCTGCATTGATTCCCGGTGAGTGCTAGGGACTGGGTCCCACAGCTGCTGTCCCTGGCTGGAGAACAGCTTGAAATTGGGCAGAGCCTGGCACCTCGGTGACATCAGATAGTCGCCCCTGGTGCAGAGAGGTCTGGTAGAGGACAGCTTGGATGTGGACATAGCCCTGTGCCGTGGTGACATCAGTCAGCTACTCCTGGTGCAGAGAGAACTGGTGGGATCTGCTGGGGCTGAACTACATCTCTGGTAGGGACCCAATAAGCAGGTACAAAATTGTTGTGACTCTATGATGTCCACAGGGTACAGCCTAACTTGTGGATTGACTGGCACAGACACTGGAGGCTAGCCTGCACCATCCCTGCATCCCTGCCTACCTCAAATAACAGCAAATTGAAGAGGGCAGCAAAAACTCCAGTCACCACACAATGGAAAGACCTTAAGTAATACAGAGAGGGCCAGAGACTCCCAGGACACACCAGTCTGAAAGAAACCAGAAACATGACAAGAAATAAAAATAAAAAGAATCTCCAGCTGCTGAACCTGGGAAAACAAGCCCAGGAGAAGTAAATACAGAAGAGAACCAGCACAGTAATCATCCAATACTAGACATAGCATCAGCCTATATGAAGAAATATCTTCATGACCTCATAGACAGATTTAAAACTGTACTTCTGATCCAAGTGAGGCAAGATATAAAGAGATTAATTAAAGAAATGATAAGCCCCTCCCAAGAGAACACTGATGGAAGAATGGAGGAAATCAGAAAAGAAAGAGAAACCTCTGATGAAGAATTTAAACATAACCTAGAATACACAAAACAGATCCAAAGAGATTACCAGGAAACTAAAAACTCTATTGAAAACTGGGAAAATGCCTTGACAGAAATTAAAGTTAGCCTTTTGAAACTTGAAGAGAGATTTATGATATATGATTGTGAAAGAAAAGACCTCTTAAAAATAACGAGGAGCCAGAAAGAAACAATTCAAAGGCTAGAAGATGACAAAAGGATACATAACTTAAGAATAAAGCACATGAACAAGGAAGCAGGAGTAACCAAAAATGAACTACAAAGAATATTCACAGATATATTAAAGGAAAACTTCCCAAGCATAGGAAAAAGAAATGATATCCAGATAAATGAGGCATTCAGAACTCCAGCCACCTACAACCAAAACAGATCTACACCCAGACATATAATAATCAAGATTCCAGAAAT